TACTATTACATTATCAAAGCAGTTGAGATCATTGCTCAGTAAATACTTAATTTCCTTTCTCTTTCCACTTTTCCCTGTAGCCTTGGCAGAGAAGCAAAGGATTGAGTTAACACCTTGATTTGTGGCAATGTGAATAAATTATAGCTAATTCCAGGAGTTCAGACTATGTCTTACTCTGACCACCTTTTCAGTTTGGTCTTTTATATTGCCATATATTTTTCAATCACACAAGCTTATTAAACATGAATACAAATGAAAATCAGACTTGTTATTATGTTAGAAATAATGAGTTGCTCATGCATCAAAAGTTTGACATGCAGGAAGTTTGAATGAATAGAAAACCTACCAGGTTATTAAAACGTTTTGGTTCCTGATTTATTCCTTTTTCATACTGGTAATTCTAAGAGCAGTGAAGCTCCCTTACCTTCCTGAGGCTTGAAGAAACAATGTGGTTTCTTACTCTCCATATTAAACCCTTACTTCAAAATATTTGTTTTCCACAGTGCTGTTAATCATGTGAACAAGCTCTCTTTCTTCTGCTAAGATTTTCACTTCTCAAGTCTGTTTTATCTACCTTTTTCAAAAGAGAAAGTTTTAATTGCTGAAAAGACATTGTTGTTGTTGTTACGTGCCATCCAATTGTAGATCACTCATAGTGACTCTATGAATGAAAGACCTGGACACTTGTATAACTTTCATCCTCTCGCCAGGTTCATAGTGTTTCCAGAGGCAAGCTATTTCTGAAGTGGATGCCACTTCTGCTTTCAAGCTGGTTTTAATTGAGACCTCCACCAAACTCTTTCCACCATGGGTAACCATTATCACATTTGACACATCAGTGTCACGGTGTTTAGCATCACAGCAACCATGAGTTATCTCTGTACAGCAAATGGACAGATCAGTGCTATACCAATTAGAAGACTGCCTGACCAAAAACAATTAAAAACCAGGCCAGAGGGTCGCAGATTAAAATTACCCACCTTTGGCCTTATGGTTGGTCATGCATTATGTAGCACACAACGCCACCACAACTCCTTATCATACCTGTATCCAAAAACCTATCCCAAACACTTTGTATGTATTAGCCAAACTATTCTCACAGCCATTCTATAATTCAGGTGTTTTTATTATTCCCATTTTACAAATGAGGAAATAGGCACCAATCCAAGGTCACATAAAATTACAGTTTTGACACAGGATGCCTATTCCCCCCCCCCCCAGTGTACTACATAGTAAGAATTCAGCAGTTTCTTGTATAAAACTTTTAAGAACTGACATAGTAACAGTTGGGGTTTTTTTATCCCAACTTTTAATATCAGTGATGATGAAATTTTAACTGAACCAAGAAACTACACTATCAAATTAAGTGGGAGGCATATGTTGTTTGTTGTTGTTATGTGCCGTCGAGTCGCTTGCGACTCAGAGCGACCCTATGTACAACAGCCCTAAACTCTGCTCTGTCCTGTGCCAATCGCACTGTCTCTGACACTCCCAACCCAATTATCCCAGTCTCTGAATCAATCCACCTCATAGAGGGCCTTCCTCTCCTGCGCTGTCCCTCCACCCTCCCAAGCATGATGTCCTTCCCCAAGGACCGGTCTCTCCTCACAACATGTCCAAAGTATGTTAGACGGAGCCTCAGAATCCTTGTCTCCAAGGAGCCACCCGGTTTAACCCTTTCCAGGACAAATCTGTTTGTTTTCCTAGCAGTCCATGGTGTTCTCAATACTCTTCTCCAGCACCACAGCTCAAAGGTATCAATTCTCCTTCTATCCTCCTTGGTCATTGTCAACTCTCTGATGCATAACAAGTGATTGCGAAGACCATGGCCTGTATCAGACACACCCTAGTCTCCAGAGAGATACCATTCCTCTTCAGTACTCTGGAGAGGTCCCTAACAGCAGGCTTTCCCATGGCAATGCACCTTTTAATTTCCTGGCTGCTGGTACCAAGAGTGTTGACTGTGGAGCCAAGCAAACTAAAGCTGTGTACAATCTCAATCTCTTCACCATCCATCCTGATGCTGCCATTTGGTCCAGTGGTGAGAATCTTCGTCTTCTTGACATTGAGCCTCAATCCATATTGTAGGCTGCAGTCCTTGGCCCTCTGCAGCAGGCGCTTCAGGTCCTCATCAGTTTCAGCAAGCAGGGTTGTGTCATCCGCATAACGCAGATTGTTGATAAATCGTCCACCAATCTTGACCCCACATTTCTTCTCATAGAGCCCAGCCTCCCAGATAATCTGTTCTTCATAGAGGTTGAAAAGATATGGAGATAGGATGCATCCCTGGCGTACGCCCTTCCCAATTTTGAACCATGCAGTGTTCCCTTGCTCTGTTCTGACGACTGCCTCCTGGTCCAAGTATAGGTTTCGCATTAGCATGATCAAGTGTTCTGGGATTCCCATTCTTCTCAGAGTCAGCCATAGTTTGTTATGATCCACACAGTCAAATGTCTTTGCATAGTCAATGAAACACAGATAGACATTCCTCTAGTATTCTCTGCTTTCAGCTAAGATCCATCTAACATCAGGTACAATATCCCTAGTACCACGACCCCTTCTAAACCCAGCCTGGACTTCTGGTAGTTCTCTGTTGATGTGCTGTTCCAGTCATTTTAGGATAATCTTCAGTAAAATCTTGACTGCATGTGAAATCAGTGAGGTTGTTCTGTAGTTTCCACACTCTGTTGGGTCACCCTTCTTTGGAATCAGAACAAATATAGATCTCTTCCAGTCAGTTGGCCAAGTGGTTGTTCTCCAGATTTCTTGGCACAACTTGGTGAGCACGTCCAGGGCAGCATCTGTTAGCTGAAATATGTCAATTGGTATACCATCTATTCCTGGAGCCTTGTTTTTTGCCATTTCCTTCAAAGCAGCCTGAACTTCTTTCATCACCATAGGCTCTTGCTCATATGTTGTTTCATGAAATTCTTCTGTGTCTTCCAATTCCTTTCGATACAGTGACTCAGTATATTCTTTCCATCTTCTTTTAATACTTCCTGGATCATTTAATATTCTGCCGAAAGCATCTTTTAGCAACTCGAGGTTTGAATTTTTTCTTCAGTTCCTTGAGCTTAAGATATGCTGAGCGAGTTCGGCCCTTTTGATTTTCTGACTCCAACTCCTTGCACATTTCATTGTAATATTTTGCTTTGTCATCCCATGCTGCCTTTTGAAATCTTCTATTCAACTCTTTAGTATCTTGAATTCTTCCCTGTGCTTTGGCTTCTCTGAGCTCCAGTGCAATTTTCAGTCTCTTCTGACATCCATTTTGGTCTTCGCTTCCTCTTCTGTCTTTGCAATGACCGTTTGCACTCTTCCTGGATGATACCCTTGATATCCTCCCACAACTCATCTGGCCTTCGCTCATTAGTGTTCAAAGCCTCAAACCTGTTCCTGAGATGGTTCTGAAATTCAGGTGGGATAGATTCAAAGTCATATTTTGGTTGCCTTGGATTTGGTTTCATTTTCCTCAGCTTCAGCTTGAATTTGAATATGAGTAGTTGGTGGTCTGTTCCACAATCAGCTCCTGGCTAACAGCACTGGCACTTTTGGATGTTTTACTCAGAGCCCTGGACATCCCATTAAGAAATGGATATCAGAAGCATCATTACCTTAGTTTTTTGAGGTTTTAATTGAGAAAAGACTATACGTGATTTTAAAAAATTGCGTCTGGTTCACTCTTTCCAAACAAAAGTAGCATTTTCTTTTTTTCTAAAAAATTTTAGAAAGGATTACAGACAGCTTTAATCATTAAACATGTTTAGTTACATGGTGACTTACAAAGTAACGCTGCCAACCCAGAGGCCACGGCTCTCTGGCAGTTCGAATCCACTAGTGACCCAGAGGGAGAACGATGGGCTGTGTCATCTCTTGTGATTTATAACCTTGGGTCAGCCCTGAGTTGGTTCCAATTTATGGTAATAAGTGTGAGTTTTAAGTGTTCTGGCTTGACTTTCCTGCCAGTCTTCACTGCATAGGGACTAACATAAGCATTTGGTTGTGGTAGCACATAAAAAGTAGTGAATGGAAGTCAAGAGCACTGTCTTTTAAGATAGTTCTCAGACTCTTCTATATTCACTTCTTCGGACCTTATTTTGTATTTAGACTTAGGCTCGTGTATATGTTTTTAAGATCCTGATTTTTATTGTGATTTGCGTAAAGGTTTATGAAGTATACTTTTTTCATTCAATCACACACATTTTGTTTTATAACATTAATTACAATACCCATAATGTAATCACACTCTCCTCACTTTCCCCTGTAATTGTTACTCTCATTATTCCTTCTGTCCTGCCCTTTCCTGCCTTCTGAACTTATTCTTGGGCATATGCTACTTTTTTGACCTATGTAGTTGGTTATTCCAAGGAATTACCTTCTTGGTATTACTGGTCATCTTCTAAGCCTGTCTATTGTTTGTCAAGTGGAGCCAATGAGCATTTTACTCCAGGTTCAAAGGGTGACTAAAGATCATAGTCCTGGAGGTTTTGCTGATCTCTATTGGACCAATAAATATGGCCTTTTTTATACCCCCCAACTCTATTCAAGATCTTCTAATATGGTCCCCTTTTCAGTGGTTACTTGTGAAACCAGGGCACCATTTAGTTGTTTTGGTCACAGAAGTGTTGTAGTTGAAGTTTGCACGATTCATCAGTGACTGCTTGTAAGCTTTTAAGAGCCTGGTGGCTCCTCATGAAAGTAGGATGTAGAATAGTGTCTCTGTGATCAGTCTCACATGATTCTTAGAAATAAAATTGTCCAAGAGTTCTTCTTCAGAGATAGTATGTATGTATAAGTGTGTGTATTTTTAATTTCATAATAATGAAGCCATTTTGATGTTTATTCTCTTTATATCTACTTGGGTATGTTTTCTTTTGAAAAGTCATAATTTTTATAGCAAAATTTCTCTTTAGAATTTTTATCAGTTTTACTATTGCTTTTTAAAAATGTTACCGATTGAATATGTGCTTTCAGTGTCAATGTTTTCTGTTTTCTCTCAGGTATTTAAACCATGTCAGAGCTGCCTCTCCCCAGGACCTTGCTGGAGGATATACGTCTTCACTCGCCTGTCATAGAGCACTGCAGGACGCGTTCAGTGGCCTCTTCTGGCAGCCCAGTTAACCTTTCTTTCCCATTTTACAAGATTGGGACCTTGGAGCAGAATGAGAAGTTTGCAAAAGTAAAGCAAGCTTGTAAAATTATACCATATGCAGCTGCACAGTGGTACTTACCACTAGCAACTGTATTAAAGCATTTATGAAGAAAAAAGTCAGAACTAAGCTGAGTAGTATAGTAGATGCATATTTGTGGAAAAAAATGGATATTTTTCCTTATATTTTTTTCTGAGCAATTAAAGCAATAAGCCTCATCTGGTGGATGATATGATTAATTCACTGATGTGTGTTTGAAGTTGACAGACAGACTTGTAAAATCTTTTGTAAAATAAAGCTAGACTTTATATTAAGTTTTGTGGTTTTTCTCTTATTACACTGTTTTACTTGAACACATTTAAAATACCATTTTGATTACAACATTTAGTGTTAATATCCAAGTGTATTATTTCTTCTCATAAAATGTTCCTTTACCCCCTCAATGTCTTCTTAATACTAGTCCAGACAAGTGGATTTATATCATCTACCAGCAGGTTGTGGCAAGTAAAACTCAACCTGTGATAATGTTACTTTCTCAATATTAAAGACTCAGTGACTATTTTAAGAAGTGGAAAAGTGAAGCAGACCTTGATCAAGGTGTTATAGTTCCCAGCTGTGAGCTATACTCAGGATAAACCAGAGCAGCATTAACCTACTTTAATGACAAATTCAAAGAAGTTAATAAAATTTAATACCTAAATGGCACCTTTTACCTTAAATGTGAGCTCACTTTATGAAGAAAACTTGCAGACCGAAATAGGTACCTTTTAAGAAATACCCGTATTTGTAAACTGTAGATACTGATGTAGTTTTCTATTGAAACTTCAAAGGCTTTTATTGTACCCAGGGTTTTGTTGAATGAGGTTAGGATGGACATTAAGGATCTGTGGTATCATGTTGTACTGCTAACTATAATGCCAAGCAATTTCAGCAGTTCAAATCTACCAGCAGTTTTGTGAGAAAGATAGGCCAGTTGCTTCCCATTAAGATTTACAGCCATGGCAGTGGGTTGAGTTGAGGATGGACATCTGTAGCATTTCAAGATTGCATGAGTCTTTTTACATACATCACCTGAAATGGAACATAGTTTCTAAGGAATTTCAAATACAATAAAGGTTATAGTTCAAAAGTTTTGTGAAACAAAATTTGTGGTTCCAATCTTGTTGTGTACCATTGAGTCAGAAATGACGCATAACAGTCCCCCCCCCCCCGAGAGTTTTCAAAGGTAAAGTTATTCTTACACTGAAGCTGTTAATCCTGTGGAGCAGCTGGTGGGTTTGAGACATGTAACTTCATCTACATCTACTAATTAATTATGTGGCGCTGGAGAAGAGTATTGAGTGTACCATGGACTGCTAAGAAAACAAACAGATTCATCCTTGAGAGGATTAAAGCAGGCTGCTCCTTGGAGGTAAGGATTCTGGGGCTTCGTCTGACATACTTTGGGCATGTTGTAAGGAGGGACCGGTCCTTGGAGAAGGACATCATGCTTGGGAGGGTGGAGGGACAGCGCAAGAGGGGAAGACCCTCTATGAGGTGGATTGATTCAGTGACTGGGGTAATCGGGATGGGTGTGTCAGAGGCAGTGTGATTGGCACGGGATATAGCAGGGGTTAGGGCTGTTGTACATAGGGTCGCTATGAGTCACAAGCGATTTGACAGCATATAACAACAACAAAAACAATGCTAATTTCTAAATACTGTAGCATTTGACAACCTTAAAAAACAAACTCATGCCACAGTCTCTCTACCACCATCACCAAGATTTCACTTCCACTAGGGTCTTGCTCCAGTTTCCCTCAAGTCTTACTGCCCAGTGTCAGAAGCACCACAGCTGTTGATGATTTGCAAGACCATGTGTCTGCAGTTAATATTGTTGGAGACCAGAGGGGGCTTACTGTAATGGCTCAAAAAACCAACCAAACAAAAACAACAAACCAACTCAACTTTTAGGCTAACACCATAGTTCCGTACTGTAGGCCATTACCTCTCTTTCACACTCAGAAAAAGCTTCTAGTAACCATTAATGTCATAGGAAGCATCACCACAACAGTAGACATGTCTTCCACGTGTCCCCTTTCATGGGGTTCCCTTGGGTAAATGGCATACCAAATGAAGAGCTCTTTTAACAACCTTCTAGAAGTGGATGTGGGACCTGAGGGCAGGCAAGGTTTGGACCCAGTAAACCCCTTTGTTGGGTGTTTGGAGCTGAATGTCGGACCCAGGAGAACGGCCAGGGAATTGTTTACTATTCCAATGGCTATGGCTCCCTGGTCCAGGTCTCATGGTAGACTGAGGAGAATAGGTCTGAGAGGGTCAGGCTGACTTACGGTAGATAATGTGATGTGCCTCTTTTCACTCGGACTACTTCAAACTACCACAGATACCTGGCTAGCACTAATCCATTCAGGCCATTCTTCTTGTTAACTAGTTACCAATGTCCCTTGTGGACTATGTAGAATCAACATAATGGTACAATCACATAATAGGCCAACATACATATTTCACATTATGCCTAAATGTGGGCACACTTTCTTGAAGAAAGCCAGCATATGGCATTCATGTCCAGACCCAGCATGTTACCTGTGGCTTTGTCCATCTGAAAAGGTCCAGCCCCATTCTATGGAGTATCCTTGAGACATCTGTCAAGGCAGACCCTTACCACTGGTTTTCACTTAGACTGCCCATGGGACCAACACAACTTCTTAGGATGGACTGGGAATAGTTGTATTTTGTAGGTCATCCACTCTCTGGCGCAAAAAGGGCCTCCAATAACTGTCATGGGATGACCCACTCTGACAGTAGACACCTCTTCGAAGTGTCCCTTCTCTATACACTAAAGATCCCTGCTGTGGTATTGCTGTGGAGAAACAGTGGCAAGGCATGACCTGAGGCTTCTTGCATTTGTGCTGGCCAGAGTTAAAAAATGTTGCCATTCTTGCCAGATGCTTGAAGGAGAAGCTGACTTACAGCTGCTCTGAAGCAAATCTTGCTAGATGATTTGGATTTGACTGTTGAACTAAAACTAGAGCCTGGTCTAATTGAGGAATTGTGTCTTGGAACTTGAGCTAAAACTTGGACTTGTAAAAAACAAACAAACAAACAAACTTGGACTTGTATTGGGTGATATTCTTCACCTCCCTAACTCTCCCACTTACTTCCCTAGTAAATCCCACATTCTCATTACCAAAAAACCAAATCAAACTCACTGCCATTGAGTGACTCTAACTCATGCTGACTCCATGTTTTAAGAATAGAACTTCACTTAAAAGAATTTTTAGTGGCAATGATCTTTTCAGAAGTTGAGTGGCCTTCTGAGGTATGTAGGTGGATTTGAACCATACACCTTTAGTAATCAAGGATTTAACCATTTGCAACACACAGGGAACTTGCAACATGAGCACAGAATAGCTAACAAATGAGGAACATTATTCAGTATGTAGGCGAAGCAAATTATTTTAAAAGCCAAAAAATTTGAAGACATGTGGCATCAGAATTGTAGGAAGACACATCAACAGCCTACATTAGTTAGATGACACAACTTTCCTTGCTGAAAGTGAAGATGACTTGAAGTACTTATCAGAGAAAATCAAAGAGTTCAGTATGAATTATATTTCAACATAAAAAAAAGTAAAATTCTTCACAACTAGACCAGTAGGCAACATCATGGCAAATGGAGAAAAGATTGAAGTTGTCAAAGATTTCATTTTACTTAGATCCACAGTAAACACCCAAGATGGTAGCATTCCGGAAATCCAGACATTGCATTGGGATAATTAGTTGTCAAGGACTTTAAAAAGTAAGAACTGGTTTTGACAAGCACTGTGGCAATGGGACAATTAAAACAGATTTTCAAGGATTATTCAACCTGAATTCTTCTGATCATATGGAGATTTTTGAAAATATTTGAGTTTATTATGTTTAATTTGTTTTATTTGTTTGTGTATAAAGGATGCTCATCTAGATGATAACATAATTATGATAAAAACCAAAGGGGGAAAATACGGGAAGCCAATACTAAATATTTGTAATAAACTAAATGCTATTTAAAAAAAAACAAAAGAATCGAACCTTAAAAAAAAAGTAAGATTGTCAGTTTGAAGATTAAGGCACAGTTAACTTAAGCCACAGTATTTTCAATTGCTTTATATGCATATGGAAGTTGGACAATGAGCAAGATAGACCAAAGAATGGATGCATTTGAATTGTGGTGTTGGTGAAGAGTGTATCCCAGGGACTGCTAGAAGAACAATTAAGTCTGTCTTGAAAGAAGTGCAGCCAGAGTGCTTTTTAGAGGCAAGGATGGTGACATTTCTTCTCATATACTTTGGGCGTGGTGTCAGGAGGGGTCACTCCTTGAAAACCGATACCATGTTTGGAAAGTAGAGGATCTTGCAACATAGACATTTAACCTTTGCAAAAGGAGCTAATGCACCATGGGGGTGGCAGTGTCTGAGTCTTACCTCTGCCTGCTTCTTAAAGGGGAGCTTATCAATAATATCCAAAGCAGCGAATACGTAGGTTAGACACACCACCCTCTATGCCCCTGCACCCATTTTTATCAGTCACTGGATTCTGTATTTGTTGATGAGTCATAGTTGTGGTACCGAGAATGGGGTTTATTAAGGAAGTCATCTAATGCAAGTCCAGGTTTTGTCCAACAGTCTCAAGCCAGTTTAGCAGCAAGATACAATTCTTCAATTAGTGAAAGTCTAGGTTTCAGTTCAGTAGTCAACTTTCCTTCCATCATCCAGCAAGAACAGAAAAACTTTTAACTGTGGCTTTTATGTCAGGACTCCTCTGGTTACACCTTGCCACATTTTCTCTACAGCAGTGCCACAATCTCTCCACCACCATCACCAGGAGTTTGCCTTCAGGGTCTCACTTTCACTAGTGTTGCTTTCACCAGGGTCTTTACGCCAGTCTCCCTCAAGTCTTGTTGCCCAGTATAGTAAGCACTAGCTTATCCTAGTCCCACAGCTGTTAATGCTTTTCAACCCCATGTGTCTACAGTTAGGTAACTGGAGACCAGAGAGGGCTGACATAATGGCTAGATAAGCCAACTTTAAGCTAGCACTGCAACTATGGTGAAGACTATGAGGACAGCACAAGATTGATCGAGGTTCATAAGGTCACTATGAGTTAAAGTTCACTCACTCAATAGCACCTAATAACAAGAAGTAAATTAACTAGGAAGTGTGCCAGGAAGTGTGCTTCATACTTTGTATATTAACTAATCGCAACCACTGTACTATTATCTTTTTCATTTTAATGGATGGTGAAAGTTAAACATTGGTTAATTTTCAAAGATCAA